AGTAAACCAGGTGATCCGGAGATTAAAAGTAAAAAGACTCCTTCTAAGAATTAGACCAATTATTAAATTTCGATCATTAACAAAAAAGCTGTAACATTTGACATGAAAATTCATATCTACAAGTACTCATGACCAAAATACCTCTCTAGCTAGTAAGAAAGTCAATTTGATTAGGTGCTTTTTCAACAATAAACTTTACTTTAACCAATTGCACATATTAAATTTTGTTGGCGATTGAACTGTTAAATAATGCCTACCATAATAAATAAAAAATAATTTGTCCTTATTTCAATATTTCAACAAAAACTTCAAAATAATTTTAAAATAAAGAAAAAACTAACATTTGTAAGAACCCCCACTTTTTAACCTCTAAATTAAATAAATAATAAGTTTTTTTGATTCTTCAGTGACAATAAAAAATATATACATTTTTTTTTTCAGTAATGCTGTCTTGTTCAACACATCTACCATTCGTCAGTCAACATTACACACCATTATGCTATATTTTAATTTTTATAAATTTCATTAAAAAAAAAAAAAAAAAAAAAAAAAAAAGATCAAATACAAGTTTTTTTTAGAGTTTTGTTGAAAGAGGTATCCTTGTTAAATTGCTTGTAATAAGTATGCAGCAGTGCTACGAAGAGAATTTTTTGTGTTATATATTGTCATCAGTGTATGGATGCCCTGATCTGATAATGATGCTACTTTACTTCCTGTGTCATTAAAAACATAGGAATTGGAACAAGTATAAATCTCCTCTTTTATTGTCAATTACAAATCAGAAGTGACTAGCCTCCGCGAGTAATGACAAAAGCAATTTTTTTTCATAATATTTTAAAACAAACTTTCTTTAAAAAATGCCAATAATCGGTTTCCCATACACTTGACTACACAACCAAATAACTGAACATTACATACAAATAAAAATTGAATATTTCACTTATCAGCAATGATTATTTTCACTTTTCTTTTCAGGGTTTACGTTTTTGTTTTACAGAAAATTAGTTACTAAAAAAAAAAAAAAAAAAAACATTAAGTGGACATTTTTTTACCCTGTTTTTGTAAACTGGGGTAAAAATAAAATGTTCTTTGATTTATTGGTACTATTTTATTTTTTACATGGTAACAACTAAAAAAAAAAAAAAAAAAAAAAGAATACAAATTAGAATTTTTAGTGTCATATTTTCCTCGTTTATCATAGTTTAATTAATTGTTTACCTCGTGTTATTGAGTAAAGCTGTATAAAATTATCGTACAACACCAACAGTCAATCATGGCTTTTTAAAGTTGTTTTAAAAATTTAAATGTTCTTTATCCTGATGATTTCGGAATTAACTTTGTTCATAAAAATAATCATAATTGTTGCAGCACAAGTAGACACGTATTAATTAACAATACGTGTCTACTTGGACTGTGGATTAGTGACTAAAAATCTTGTTTAGACATTGGATTTAAAATAGTGGATGATACGACGACACAATCCCGTGGGGGTATGAGCAAGTCTAGGTAGGTACACTACACAAGATGCATTTCTTTTAGGAAATGACTTGACTTCAAAACCTGTGTCGTAGAATGAAGCAGTTTGATGTCCTTTTAAAAATGCAAACAGAACTGAGAGAAATATTAAATTTCTTGGACAGAATGAATGGTACTAAAGTGCTAGTATTTACTAATGAGTGGACCAAGAAGCCTACATCAGTAATCACTCCCTGTTAATCTTCAATTTCGAAAATAGTATCAGATAAACACAGGAAAATAAAATGTTTCGCTTAGTTAAAAATAAAATAAGTGCTTTTCTCCATAAATTTAAATAAAAAAAAGCCAAGAATACACAAGAAGACTAAAAGTAAAAAGAAGAGTTTTAATTTAAAAAGAAAAAAAAAAAGATCGAATCACTTTTTAAAAAAATATTTTTTTAATTTTAAATTAGACCTCAAAAGAATTAAAATTCTTAATCATTTTTATTTTATGTTTATTGTTTATATCACATTTTTCGTAACGTTAGTCATTCAAATTTGAAAAAAAAAAAAAAAAAAAAAAAAAGTTGCACAAATAGCATTTAAAATCTTAAACTAAAAACATGATCGAGATGTTTAATTTAGAATAAAAAGGAATAAATTGTAAACAATAGGAGAATGGAGAAAAAAGGCATTTCTTTAGAATTTATTTGTTCAATCTTGGCTTAAGTAGTGTTTCTTTTCACCGATATGAATTAATGCTAAATACTGATAGAGAGATGAAGCATGTTTTACCAGATTTCATATAGGAGGCTGAAGAAAATGAGTTTTTAAGCAAAGTTTTTGAAATCTTTTCTGTGTAGAAAAAATACCTCTATTTTTTTTTCAACGAGATAAACGATTTTGAAAATAGCTGATTTACTGCTTGTTAATGTTAAATGAACAATTTAAAAAAAAAAAAAAAAAAAAAGCATAGTCACATGGAAAAACATACCCTTCGAATAAATAAAAATTGACGAAGAAAATACTCTGTCATTAATTGGATTGCAAATATTGTACATATTTTACGGTTATTCTTGAAGAAAGAAGAATAAAAAAAATGTAATTTTGTTTTTTTTTTAACTGAACGTGGCAGAAAATCACTCCAAGAAAAACAAGATAGACTAGTCTTAAGAAGACATTTGATTTGAAACAAGAGGTAAAATTAAAATTGCCAACAATTTTTGTAATAAACGCAGAAACTGTTTCATTAACAATGAATTTCATGTTGGGACAATCAAAAATTAAAAATATGACTTAAATAAATCGTTTGTTTATATTTTTTTTAAGTCGATTAAAACAAAAAAAATTACTCTTTCTTTTGTGTCGATCACTTTCCTTCTTCACCCAAAAAGAATATTTTTTATTTTTAGGCTTTACTTGTGGAAGAAAAACAGTCGAATACAAAATGTTAGGTGGGAATAGATTTTTTTTAAGTCTTACAAAAAGAATTATTTTTAATTAATTAACGTCTTAAGTTTTTAAGGCTATGTGGGCAAAGAAGGAAAGAGGATTCTAAGGATATTAAAATCTGTTTCTAATTACAATTATTACTCAATATGAATAAATTCACAATATGGGTGTCCTTGTAAGAAAGCTTTTTTTTTTTTTAATATCAGGAAGGTGGGGGCGGGAAGGAAGTATAAACAAAAAATAACATTGCTGTCAGTGTCATGTCATCAAATTTATTAGTCAACGTCATATAGTAAATTCGTAATAATTTTGTAAGATTTCTTTTGGGGGGGGTATTTTAAAATATTGTTGAAAAAAAAAAAAATCGAACAAATGTAAGAAAAGAGCGAAGGAATGTTTAACGGTCAATTTCTGAAAAAACAGTGAAATAATAATAATAAGAACAATTCTAGAATTCACAACTCCAAATCGTAGCTCATCAAAAACAAAGTTCTTGCTAATCGAATTTCAAGGAACTGCAGACTAAAATAACAATCACTGTTATTTGGTTGGTTTATTATTGTTTTACTAAGTACAGACAAGTGGTCAATAACAACGTAAGCTGATACATTGTCACACGGAATATGATGATGACACTTGTTATTAAAAATAAAATGAGAAAGTAAATAAATGAACCATTTCTTTCTCTCTCCTAAATTTTCCCAAAGGAATCAAGGTCATCGTTCTCATTTCTTGCATTTGTTTGTATCTAGTCAAACTAAATCGATAGTCATATTAGCAACTGTCCACTTCAGTCAAGTGATTCAATTTTTCCATTTTTTATTTACTTTTTTGTGTTGGCCTTTAAATCGATAGCAGAAATAAGTCAAGTCTATTTCAGATCCTAAAACCAAAACGAACGGGTACAAACCGGGATTAAAAAAAAAAAAATTGTTGGATTCCTATCATTTGCAAAATGTATTTTTAAATGAAATTTAATTTTGCGCGAATCACATAGGCATTGATGAAGTAGGGAAAAAGGGACCCGACTGACCCATTTCCAAAGATACGAATGACCAATGTAGCAATAATTATGAATAATAGAGATTTAAAAACAAAACAAGAAAAAAAAAAACGCAAGTTGTAAATTGCTTAAAAATAATTGAATTGAACACTTCAAATGAAAAGATTACAGATGATGACCTTCATTTTTTTTTTTTTTTTAACAGACTTTTTTTCTTTCAAATAAAAAAGGACAATATTTTTTTCTTAAATTTAAAAATAATTAAGCTTTAAGCAAGCTAAGCACCTTTAAGTGACAATAAAAAAAGCTCCTGTTCGACTTTTCCAAGCTTTATAGATTTTTTAAAGAGATTTAAACGGAGGAATTAAGCCGCGGACAAAGATGCAAGGAAATAAACAAACTGGTTGGTAGAAATAATAATAATAATAATAATAATAATAGCAGCAGCTAGAGTGGGGACAACGACAAATTGAAAAAGAAAGAAAGTAGAAAGAGTGAGAGAAGAAAATCAAAGGGAAGAGAGAGTGAGAATGAAAGAAAAAGCAAATGTAAACAAAGGGAGTAAGTGATCAGAGGCGTTGATAGAGAGGAAAGAGAAGAAAAAGGGATTTAAAAAAAAGGGGAAACGATGTAAACAGAGAAAGAAGAGGGGGTAAAAAAAGAGAAAAGAAAATGAAATGTAGGTAGTGCACGGGAAAGAAATAGATTTTTGTTTAGAAAAAGAGAGAAAAGAAAAGGAGTGGGGTACAAATTAAAAACAACAGGAGGGTGTAAACAAGGAAGATGCAGATAGAGAAAGAAAGAAAAATTAGGAGTGTCCCCGATGAAGTGAATTTACACATACACTAACAATGACAGTACACGGGTGGGTAGGTAGGTAGGTAGGTGTAGGCAAGGTAGATAAACATTTCGATTTTTTTTCTTTTTCTTTTTACTGATGACAATGCAATATAGTTAGGATAAACATGAGAACCTGCAAAAACTTTGATATTTAAAAATTTTCATTTTTTTTTTTTTTAAGTTGGACGACGTCATGTTTTTTTTAATTTTTTTTTTTCTTTCTGTCGGACTCGGAATTAAAAACTTACTGTGTTCCACAGACAGCTGAGAAACGGAACGGACATAACAGTGGTGGTGATGGTGGCAGTAGAAGGAATAGAGGTGGTAGGAGGATAATCTAGGCGGTGGTAGGAGGAGAGGCCGCGGCCGTGGTAGGAGTAGATGTCTGCACCGTGGTGGGAGGAGAGTACTTGCTGTGAGTAGCGGTGGCAGGAGGATTTTGTACTACTTCCTCCTCCTCCTCTTTCACTTCCTTTCTTGCTTCTTCTCTTTTCTCTTTCTCCCAACAAATGAATTGAAATTGAATGGACTCTTTTCTTTCTTTTCCTTCCTTTTTTTCTCTCCTCACAAAATTAGATTATTATATACAGAGAATAACAATTTCCATTTTCTCTCCAAAAAGCCTCATTTTTAAAACACTACTACTACTAGTATTATTAGTAAGTAAGTATAGATTATGTATAGAGAGAATGTGTGTAATAATATATAATAATGGATTATATTATATTATTATATGTATCAACAAATGGGTGAAAAACATAAACAAATGGTTTTGGCTGCGGTCAGCCTCCGTGGTACACCGACGGCTGCCGTCGTCGTAATTCGACGAGATCTGCGGCCGACGACACGGACGGACGGACGAACCTTTCCGGCAGCAATTCTAGCGACCAAGTTAAAGAGAAAATCGCTTGGCTTTACCATATTTTGTCCCGGATGCGTGAAACTCCTTCTGCCTTGGACATCAGAGCACAGCCATATTTTATCTCCACAGTGCTAGTAGTAGTAGTGAAAGAGTTGTGCGCTTATCTACTCTTGATGCTCATTTCCCTCAATAGGTGGCGTAACTTCCTCCCACTTCTACCACAATCTTATTACTATCCTTTCCCTTTCGGGTTTTCCTCTTCTCTCTGTGATTTTTTATTATTTCTCTACTGCCTAACATCCCCCCTCAGTCAGTTTCCCTTCCTATCTATCTTTCTCTCTCTTTATATGACTAAATTTGCTCCTGCTCCTCTAGAATCCTCTCTCTGATTATTTATAGTTTGTTTTTCTCTCTCTCTCTTCACAGGCTGCAAAAGCACCTGATGTAGTGTCTAGTTAAAAATTAATATCGGAAAATGAAACGAGTCAGTTTTAATGCAAATTCATTATAAAATTATACTTTTATTTTAAGTTAGCACATTATTTTCTCATATTTGAATATTTTTTGGTTGAACAAAAATATCAAACTTTATTTTCCACAATAAAAAAGAGTATTTTTTCTCAAAGGATTTTAAAAGTCCGAATTTTTTTTTGTAACTTTGACGAATTTAAAGTTGTTTCAAACAATACACAAATAGGCATTTTTTTTTTTTTTTTTTAGCTTAAGCCATTCTCTGGCCTTGGTGATAATCCGATTTCCTAGAATTGGAAGTTTCGTTTCATCTTATTTACGTTATATCGCATTCCAGCTTTTGGTCTACTTAATATAAGGCGCTTATTTTCGGTTTCTGAACTCTGCTAACCTTCATGCTGTTTTGCAATTTTATTGTTACGATGTTTACATTGTATGATTTCTTTCGGTCTGGAATCGTAACGAAAAACCACCAAAAGAAACTGTAAAAATAATTTTATAATTTCATTGGAAATGATTATATTATAATTATTCAGAATACTTTCATATATTTTTTGACTTATTTTTTGTTTTCAAACTAAACACCAGACAATAACATTATTTCCGAAGATAATTTATAATTTTCACAAAAAAAACATCTGACGTGTTGAGCAGGCTGCAGGCACTAAAAAACAAAAAGTCTTAATAATAATCCAGTGTTAATGACAGCGTTAAGAAGTGTAGAGCAAGTTTTCATCTACAAGAAGACACTATTTTTTTCAGTCACCACCATTGGCAATGTATTTTCACCACAGAAATTTAATAAAAATGGCTTGATGGGTTTTTATTTGTCACTATGCATTACTATTACCCACTTCTGAACTGTACTCACAACTATTGTTTGGTTTCCGTGAACATTCAGCAGTTGTTGATGTGTTCAATTTTTTCCGCGTGGAGGAATTCAATGACCCAACATTACTTCGTACATACATTCGTGTCAGACACCATTTTACCTGATTGCTCGCTTAGCAGTTCTGTAACAAGGCAAAAATGTGGGTTATTTGCAGGAAGGCTCAACTTATACTCCCATACTAGGCACATTCGCTTCCGATGCCATGAGCCAACATACAGGAGGCATTACTTTCGGAGTGGTCCTTCGTAGAATTATTAAACGTGTCAAACAGAATATACACGTCTACCGTCTAACCAAGAAAAAAAAGGTGTTTTAAGAAAAGTTAAATAAATACAGACACGGCAGGGACAAATTTAAAAAAAAAAAACAAACAGTTTTTAGAATTTCTCGTCAAAAAAAAAAAAATATTGAGATTCCCTTTAAAAACAACAAAAAAAGATTTTTAGGGGTTTTCTTTGGCATTAAAATTTTAAAAAACGCGTTGTAAGGAGTTTGTTTTGAGATTTCGTAAAAAAAAAGTTTTCTTTTTTTTTTTTTTAAACAATGATTATTCATGGCATTTGATTAATTAAAGTGAAATCTGAGGAGTGTTCATCCCTTCTCGCCCGTTAGTGGATCACGATGTTTGGTGAATCGATCACTGAATGAATGACGACTACTAAAACAATTTTTTAAATAAACATAAACAACCAACAGTACAAACAAACACTGAAAAGTGAAAATTGACACATCGCTGTTAGTTGACGTCTGTCTTGTTTTTGCTGTTTTTTTTTTGTTTTTTTTTAACATTTGTTTCTTGATGAAGATTAATATTTCCTTTTTTTTTTCACAGAAAAAAGTGTATTATTTTCAAGTTACGTAAAGCATGAAATTTACATCTCAAACTTTGAAGAACGGACAACCTGGATTTGCAAAAAAAGAAAAAGTAACTACATTGTTAATAATGGACAATGTTACCTTTTTTTAGTTTGACAATTTTTTTAGGAAAATACAAAACTCCTTAGACTTTTTAAATAGATAGTTTAAAAAATCGCAAAGTAGATTAAAAAGGTGATTTTATTTTTGGTGATGTAACAACCACAAATGTTAAAGAAAGAAGGGTAGTTTTTTTCCAAACCAGAAAAAAAAAAATTAAGTTTCCATTAAAAAATTACGAAATGAATAAAATAAAATTTTTAAAAAATCTATAATAAAAATTAATGAAACTAAATAAAAAAAAAACTGAAAATACTTATAAATAAATCTCAGCTTAATTTTAGATTGGGCACAAGGCCAGATGTATAGTGTGCACATACTCATTATTACTCAGTACGAGTGAAACCATGTCATTACCTACACCACAATGAATTGTAAAAAGTGAATAAAAACAACAGCTGTAAGCATAATTACAAATAAAATTAAAGTAAACATAAAAACAATTAAAAGTTAAGTCAAAAACGTAAATTAAGAATATTAACAACAAGCAAATAAAAATATTTAAAAAATGTTAAACCTAAAATGAAACTATTTATAGTTCAGCTACTTGGAAAATTTAAATTTATAAAATTCATTCATTAATGAATAAATGCTAGAAATTTCATTTAAATTGGATAATTCTCTTATGATAATTTTTAAAAATCATAGTGAATTCATTTTGCTCAGCCAAAGTCTCAAAATAACTACATAAAATTCACTATCTTTCATCCATAATGTTGAATGTGTTAAAATTAGTCAACTTCTTAACAAGAAAATTCTCTCAAGTTGACGTAAAAAACTGCCAAAAAACATTGTTGATTTATTTAAGATGGAATGATCTATTATGACATATCTCTAAATACATTGATACATTGTATTTATTTTTAATTTTTCTAGTTGAATTGTTCAGCTATATTGCATATGATCCATTATTGTACATAATTAGGTTACAATAAAATTTGTATTTTATATGAATACTACCTTATGAAAACTGAGATGTAGTAGAGTGTGTGTGTGTGGGGGGGGGCACGAGACACTTGCACATGCTCCAGGAGTTCTTTGTGACATACTTTACCAAATGCTTTTGCATAATCTATAAAACACAAGCATACATCCTTCTGCATTTGTATTGCTCTTTCTGATATCACTCTGAGCATAAATATTACATTCCTTGTTCCAGTGTCTTTAACAAATCCACACTGTTCTTGTCCTATTTCCAGCCTGATTCTGCTGCATACTCTATTCATCAGAATTCAGATGTGTCCTTGGTAAGACAATAAACTACATCTGACAGCAAGGCCTCTGATCAGAAGATTTTGAGGAGTGTGGAACCACCTCTTAATTGCTGGTGTTTCCAGGTCCACTCTGACCCAGGGTGGTAGCACCTGTTACGGTCCCAGCTATGGGCAAATAGTTAACCCCCAAACCAAGGACAACACACTATGAAAGTGTAAAAATAGGTTTTATTACCAGCAATACTTTTTTGGGAAAATATTATCAGCAATACATTTTTGGAAAAAATATTACCAGAAATACTTTTTGGAAAAAAAATTATTACCATCAATAAATATCTTGTCAGCATTAAATAACTCATTGAGGTTAATATGCCATAAAACAAACCAAACCAAACAAACAAAAGAATTTGAATGTAAGTTTTGTTATATGACTCATTGGGTTCATTGTCTGATAAAGATCACATTCATTTACACCTGGCTTCTTAGGCAGTGCTATGAACATGGATCTACTTAGGTCTTCCGATATATCACCTAGGTTGTATATTTCATTTATTATGTCTGTAATCTTGTCAATGCTGAAATCATCTAAGGCCGCCAGTGCCTCTATTACAATTCCGTCTTGTCCAGCTGCTTTGCTTCTGTTCAATTTGGCCAATAAAGCCACTAGGATGCAAGGGATTACTGGGAGTGAAAGAGAAAGACTTTTGTGATGAGAAAGGACAATAAAATAAAAGGATTCAGGAAAACACAAGATGCTGATTGGTATTGCATTTAAATTTTTGAAGATTGTAAGTAGCACAGAAGCAAGGAATCAGAAAGAATGGAGTTTGCAAGCAAGAAGTGCAAGAAAATAAACTGTTAAATAAACTATTATAATAGAACATAGTTGCATTTATCTAGTTCAACAGTAAAAAGGTGAGACCTAGTTGCCAGTCTAGTAGCATGCTTAAATTCATACAGTTGAGGCACCAAAGAGAAAAGCTCCGCAGAACAATTGCTAAGAAAATATATGTAGAAAAGACAGAGGGAAGCCACATGATGTCAGTGAAAAATACCTGATCAGGATCAATTACATTATATCACAGACCCTTCAATTTTTATTATCAAGTCATTTCCCCAGGTTGGAACGATTTTTGAAATAATAGGAAAGACAAATTTTGACTGTTTTGAAACATATAATTTTATCCTGATAGTAGGTCAATCTGCGTGTGGAAGAGAGGGTGCAATGAAATGACTATTTGTAGTGGCTAATGAAAAAAAAAAAAATGGAAAAATAATTTTTACATAGCATTTTTATCCTAGAAAACTAGTGTGACTTGCTGTGGTGTAATGTATCTGTTTATATTTCTGAGATGAGGTATTATGGACATTATTCGGACTATTGTCCTCATCTTTTTCGCTATATTACAACATTTCAGCCGTTGTACACGCCAGCCTTCTTCAGGTGGCTGGAATATCGAACTGAACCCTTTATTTCGCTCACTGGGGTAAACTGTTCTAGTTCCATGTGCCATGTTTAATGGATGTCAGTTATCAAAATTGCAATATGAGCTCTGGTAAAAACATGCAACGATAACATCAAAAAATTGCAATATGAGCACTGGTAAAAAATGATTGCTGAAGACATTAGGTTTATAATACCCAGAAATTCATACACAGATGTCCTCAAGGACACATGGCAAAGGCGTTAGTTAGATCCAGTGACAAGACACAAAGAATGTGAGTTCAATACCTGGTTAAGTCAGTGGAGAACTTTCAGAGGGAAATTAACAGGAGATAACTGATAACCTACATCTATTAAACATGGCGCGTGGAACTAGAACAGTCTACCCCAGTGAGTGAAATAAAGGGTTCAGTTTGACATTCCAACCACCTGAAGAAACATAATAAATATGGTGACAAAGATGAGGACAATAGTCCGAATAATGTAAATAATGTAGTGTAATGGCTATCAATCTCATATGAACTTTGTGTACTGTATATTGAATGTGATTTTCACTTAGTGTTTCATAACTCTGACCATATGCTCAACTAAGTAAAGTTTAAGAAATATCTAGAGGTTGCCAACCAAAGACAATGATAAACAAGTCTATCTAACAGACTAATTAATTAGGGTTGCGAGATCAATCCTCATGACCATAGTAACCTTATGCTAGACTGAGTTACACTTAGTAAATAAGGAATCTGGGTAAAATCAATGGCTAGCAAGCTATCCAAGTATACCATTAATTAGGAAGGTGTGTTTTATCCTAATGGATGTCCCACAAGTAAATACCTAAATTGCAAAAACAGTAGATCTGTTAGTAATTAAATGACATGTGAAACTATAAATATTAATATATATAAATGGGGATTGCCATGTAAGCACTCATGAATTGCATTTTTTGTAAGTACTTATGCAGGGAAGTCGGACCACTTGATGAGAAACCTATTTTTTTTTTTTTAACTTTTTTATCCTGTTTAGAATGTCATGTCAAAGAATGCAACTTTTGATCAGATTGAATTTTGTAATAGGAAAACCATTTTCTTTCAAATAATCTAAATGGATTTTCCTTTGATTTACCCCTTTCTACAACCTTGACTTATTAAATTCTTATTTTATTAACCTCTTTTGAGTTTCTCAAATATATAACTTGCTAATTGAGTTAAAAAAAAAAAGAAGTCAGAGCAAAAGCCAGATACTTTGGAAGAGTGAGTAAACTTTAATAAAATATTACTTCAAAGTGAAGTATCTACTTTGCTGATTCTTGACACGGTGTCTTAAAAGTTTGTCTTATACTTACTTATGGCCACATCACATTGAAGCACTGGCTCTCATACAATCACTGAAGTTAAGCAATGTCAAGCCTGGCCAGTACCTAGATGGGTGACTGTTTGGGAATACCAGGTGATGTAATCTTGGATGTGTGGGTGGTGTAATGGATACGGAAGTGAAATTGGCGAGTTCCAATTCCAGTTGTGTATTTTATATTCATTTACGTACAAATACACCTAGGAAAAGTATGAATCTATTTATTCTCCCCCCACTCCCAGTTATAAGTTAATTAGTACGACTTGTATCAGTAAATCATTATTATCTCTAAAAATTCTTACAATCTAAAAATATTTTTGTTTTTAAATAACCTGTAAAAGGTTGATAAGCCATAAAACAAAACGAATCGATCAAATTCTTCAACCATGACACTATATCTTTTATTAACGTCTTTTGATTTTTTTCAAATATAACTTTTGCTAATTGAGTTAAAAAGGCAAAGCAGAAGCCAAATACTTTGGAGGTGTGAATAAACTTTAATAAAATAATACTACAAAGTGAAGTACCTACTTAGCTGGTTCTTGACACAGTGTCTTAAAAGCTTGTTTCATTATCCCTTCTATAAATTTTTGAAAAATTATCATTATTCACCCAATTGATATGATTATTTTTTGTTGACCCTTACATTTTGCTTAATTTATTCTGCAGCCGTTTGCATGTCTACAATCCATATGAAAGTCAAAGATTGGATTATTAAACTTGCTTTTGGTATTAGCATAACATTTTGGACAATAAAGACTGTAGAATGGATTGCCCCCAAATCCAAGAACAACAAAAAGAATGGTCAGAAAACTTTAAAAATTATAGAAGAGATTTTCTAATAACAAGTAAAATAAATTAGATTTATTTATTTATTTATCTGTCTCTATTCTGAGTTTGGTAAAATTACATTCACTCTTCAGAAGACTTGACGGTAATTTACCACCAAGTAATAATGAATAAATTAAATTAATTTTATGCTTGTCTCTAAATTTATCTTATGCATGTGCCTATTCTGTGTTTTACAGAATTGCATCCACTCTTCAGGAGACTTGATTGTAATTTACCAATAAGTCTCCTGAAGAGTGGATATAATTCTTCAAAATTTATTTATCATTAATAATGCCCTATCTCTTGATACCAAGCACTATAATTACAAAGACAGCTTTTTTAAAAATGTTATCTTCCAGAATTATTCTGGTCAACAGTTTTTGTTTTTGATGAAGTATAATCTTTGGCATTGTTGAAGAGATTTTCTATGTACATGCTTGAAGAATACTGTAGAATGGATCAACCAAAATGTGGTAACAAAAGCAACAAAAAGATTGAAACCAAACAACTCTTTCAAGGCTCATTTTTGTTATACAAATTGTTTTTTCTAATCACAGCAAAATTTGGAATACCACATTCAGTTTCAACAAATCACAAAAGTAAATTGGCACCTCTGTTACTTAATAGCTTTTTATTATCATCAAATAAAAGTTCAAATTTTGGCAAAAGCTGTTTGAGTTTGCTTAGCAGTAATGTCATTTTGAAAGGCATGAATCTGTTCTCCCTGCATTCTCTCCCATCATCAGGTATATTGACAAAAATGTCTCATTTCTGACAATGACTAAACAAAAGTTTTAAAAATTAAGTAAAAAGAAAATGTTAAATTTTGAAAATGTCATATTGATAAATTTCAGTTTATGTTTAACTGAAAAAAATTTGTTTTGCTTTAATTTTCAAAATTAATCTTGATTTGGACTTGTTTTGAAACTCATTAAAAAACTTATATTTAAAATATGAGGGTAGATAAAGAAAATTTTTTTACTTACTGATAAAAAGTTTGAAAATTAGAGGGGAAAATGCTTATAATTCTGTTTATTCATATTACGTTTTAATTTTAATTTTTTACCCAACCATCTGACTATATATATCTGAAGAATTTTTCACTTTCAAAATAAACAGACAGCCAACTTGCTAAATACAGAATCAGATCAGATACAGAAATAATATTGAATAAAGGGAAAAATATTCTGAAAATTGTTAATAAAAACAGAAAACATATAAAATCTGATGCTAAAGAATGTCTTCACAACTTCACAATTTTTGATACTGAGACATATTAATACCCATCATCCCGTTTTCGGGAATGTGAGCATTAATAATTAATACTGGATAATTATAATTAATAATTAATTCTGAATTTTTCATTTTTATAATCCCGGATTTTACAGTCAGCATCAATGGATTAAGTGTAATCAATCCTGTAATGAAAGTTAGTGTAATGCTTGTTGGTTGAGATAGTTCATCAAGGCTGGTGCAAGAGTCTTGTACCCACCCCACCCCCACCACTATGTTACAGGTCCCCCACTTTACTATATCTCAATTTTCATAAGGTAGTATTCATATAAAATGCAAATTTTATTGTAATCTAATTATGTGCAATAATGGATCATATGTAATATAGGTGAACAATTCAACTAGAAAAATTGAAAATAAACAATGTATCTAAATACAAATTAGAGACATGTCATAATAGATCATTCCATCATACTTATTATAAAACGCAGATTGTGTGTGTCTGTACATTTATATATTGGATCGGATTTCTTACATTTTTCAACCGATTTCAACAAAACTTCACAGGACTACGTAAAATTACCTTGCAGTGGTTCTGACAGTACCAAAAATTGGAAAAACACAATTGTTTTTGCACAAAATCAATTTGAAAACACGATTAAGAGGCATCACGAATGAAAGGGGGACAACACATATCGAGTTATACTTATTATTATAAAACCTAGGTTGTTTTTTTTTGGTGTGTGTGTGTGTGTGTGTTCATTTATATATGTGATCGGATTTCCTACATTTTTCAACTGATTTCAATAAAACTTCACTTTTTTTTGGCAGGTCATGTTTCTTATTGTCTTGCACACTTTTTTCTTTATTTTTACATTCAGAATGCTTTAAAAATTGTTTTTGTTTGAGTTTGGGTTTGACCAATTCGTAAAAAAAATAAAAAAAATAAAACTAATTAAGGCATGCGTGTCTGTCAACCTTAAACAATAATCTTTGTCAATTTTATTTTTCAGTCTTTATGATGGTCGATACTTGATCTATCTCTTACTGTTACATCCCTGGGCAATGCCGGGCTCTACTGCTAGTCTTAAATAAATCAATAATGTTTTGCAGCAATTTTTAACATCAGATTTCTCTAGTTAAAAAGTTGAAGAATTTTAATATTCCACATTATAGATAGTAGTGAAATTTATATAGTACTTCTTTGAGACTTAGCATGAACAAAACAAATTCACAGATTTGGATTAAAAAAAAAAAGACCCCAGAATGACGTCAAAATTTGCAAAAGATTTTCATCATTCATTTGTGCTTCATTTAAATTGCAGCAAATATAGACATAGGTAGAAAGAAACAAATGTTGATAAGACAGGGAAGGTGACAAAGCATTTCCTGGGTCCCCAATAAGTCTTGAGCCTCCCCAGTTGGGTGGTGGGGTTCAGGGTAGTACATACTGGCCTTATAGTTGAGTATTCCCATGTAGGATTTTAAAAAAATAAAGTTTTTAAATCTTAATTTGCAAAGCAGGAAAACTCTTACTACTTATAAGATTGGAGCAACACAATCTTCTTATCTTTATTTTTACCAATTTAACTCTGTGCTATATTATATCGGATTTTGTTATGCAAGTCAATGTTTTCATAATAAAATTGGTATTAACCACATGATGTTGGTAAACTTTTCAGAATATATTCATATGGAAACATGCAAATTACATGCAAATTAGATACTAAAGAATTAAACATCAATTGTAAGAAAACAGAATGCATGATTGTTAGCAAAAGGAACAAGCCCAACATGCAAATTACAAATTGGAGATACCAAAATAATGCAAGTACAAAAATTTAAATATCTGGGAAGTGTTTTAACAGAGGACAGAAAGTGGGACATTGAAATCTGAAGGTGTGTTCAGATAGCAAAAGATGCCTTCCAAAAGCTAAGCAAAGTATTAAGAAATAGGAAAATTTTGTTAGAAGCAAAGAGTACAGAACTGTTATATAATATCAGTCCTCCTATATCACAGTAAATACTGGACATTCTCCTCACAGATGAAGAAGAAACTTGAAGCAACAGAAATGTGGTTCTACAGAAGGATGCTGAGAATACCATGGACCAAACATATGAGTAATGATGACGTTTTAGAGAAAATTGAAACAAAAAGGACACTTCTACTTAATGCCAGGAAGAGATAGTTGAAATTTGAAGACAGAGGGTTGAAAAATTTGATACTCACAGGACAGATTTTAGACAAAAGGGATGGAGGAAAACAGTACATAACTTACCTAGCGAGCTTAATTAAATGGATGTCAGAGTAAGGTTTAAGAGAGGTAACAAAAAGACAAAATTTATTAAGAGCTACAAAGGATAAGAAATTGTGAAGAGCCATGATCATCAGTGTCCCAAACAGACACAGCAAATAGAAGAATACTGTCTGGATTTCAGCTTAGAATATCTATCCTTAATAAAAAAATTAAAAAAAACTATTCATTAACTAACTTGTTAGGATTTATTATGCAAAGTACAAAATAAATGTTTATAAACAAATCCAAAAGATATAGTCCAAAGAAATATTTCATTAACATAGAACGGAATCTGATATATCCAAATTATTATTTTATTATTTTACATGTTAATATGGGCTCCTTGATGTCCAATAATCTGTATTAGTCTTCAATATATTTTGCTAACTTTTCTGCTATTTCAACTTTTGAATTACATGCAGCAGTTTTTATTGCTTCCCATATTTTTCGTTACTTGAATATTTTTCCATTCTCATATCCATCTTTTTAAGAATGAACAACAAGTTTTCTATTGGAATAATATCAGGAGTGGCTAGGGTACAATTCCATGAATTTGGTCTCATTGAAACCTTTTTTTGGCAAGGTGGGCAATAGTCAACTTTGCAGGATGTAAAGGAAAATTGTAATGTTTGATAATATGCTTCAGCTTAAAGTTTCTTGATTGTGAACTGTACTACTCAAAAAACATATTGTCTAAGAATAATTCATCTGCATTTATCTTGGCACTATCATCAAATTTGAAAAA